GGCCAGAAGAACCCCAACAATACCCACGACACACGCAGCCACCACCGCTAGCAAAAAACGCCACAGAGTTCATGATGCCAACAACAACGTCACGGACCGCGCCTTCGCGCGGATATCAATCGTTACTTCTACGTGAAACAGAGAGGGGGGTGTTCGCAAACCCTGACCCTACCACCCCACCCCATAATCCCTACCCAAACCTTAACAAAACTACCGCAGATTCATTTTGCCAAACGCCAACCGCCACGGACCGTCTCCGCGAGGATGTTGAGCGGGAAATGAGTGAAACAGAGAGGGGGGTGTTCGCAAACCCTGACCCTACCACCCCTCCCCATAATTCCCACCCCAAACTTAACAAAACTAACGCAGACTCAATAGTACCAAACACCAACCGTCACGGACCTCCTTCGCGAGGATGTAACAAGTAAGCGGCAATTAAGTGAAATAGAGAGGGGGGTACCCTGACCCAACCCTGACCCAACCCCTACGAAGGCGACCGAAAGTCGCAACCGCTCTTTCTACACCTTGACCATCGACGACAACAAATTCTCCGTGAAGGCTACCGAAAGCCACCAATGCATATGCTACCACCAACGACGACAAGCACTGTACCGTACAAGCACTGTACCGTACTCACCCGGCCATCTTCACGAGCACGAGCTGGGCGGAAAGGAGACCCGGCCGGCTGGACCCCGACAGCACCGCCTGCGACGGTTACAAAAACCGCAAAGACAAACAATAATCAAACGCGCGGCCGGATACAGCTGCAGCTATGTGGAGCGGAGAGTCCATTGGACGGCCAAAGATAAGGCGTGACGCCACCAGTTTCCGGCCTCGATTCATGTCGTTGCGTAATCTGATCCCACCCCCGCAAAAAAACAGCAGCGCATCCCAACCTAATCCCGAGGTTTTCCATAGCTCATTGAGCATCGGCCGGTGTCTCTCACAGGCCCTTCGTTTCCTGCGCTGGAGAACCGAAAAAAAAAAGTGTCCAATTACCACGTCGCTGCCGTCTGTTGCACCATACTCTTAGCCCCTTGTTGAAGAAAATATAAGGGAAATAAACACAAGTGGGTATACCCACCCCTTTCTCGGACAAAAGTGGGTACTCGAAAATCCAGCGAGCGCGCACTCCATAGGCGACCCCCAAACGACTCAAAACCCCATTCTGACACCTGGGCGACACAGCCAGGGACCATACACAGGACCGGCATCGATATTTTCCCACTTTTAGGCACACCTTTGGCCCTAATACAGCCGACGCGCGCAAGGCCTCATCAGAGTGCCCACTTATGTCCGACATCGCGGTGGGTATACCCACCGGCGTCAACAATTTTTTTCATGTACCCACTTGTGTCTGTATTTTGACCCACTCTTGTCCAAATTGTACCCACTGTTGTCCACTTACGGACGGCGAAAATCGAGCGGAAATCGACCTCCACGTCACCGCACGGCAGAACATCGAATAGACTCGGAACGTCTCAGAACCTCCCAAAACCGTATCCATGGCATCTTTGCTATCCATGGCTGCCGACTGCGGACCGACCACGGAGGAACATGTCAGAAACATGCCAGACCCCTTCGGTACCGGCACGGGAAGATACCAGGCACGGGAAGATACCCGCGGCAAGCCCGGCAAGCAGCGCACTAACGGCACGCCACAAATAAATGCGTGACACACAACGGACAACACAACCAACGGGTTGCGCATACAGAACAAAAAGACGCGCAAACAGCAACAACACATACACAAAATCACCAACCACCACGACGAGTGCACACCGACTCGTTACGGCAGCAGTAGGCTTGCCGCGGGTATCTTCCCGTGCCTGGTATCTTCCCGTGCCGGTACCGAAGGGATCTGGCATGTTTCTGACATGTTCCTCCGTGGTCGGTCCGCAGTCGGCAGCCATGGATAGCAAAGATGCCATGGATACGGTTTTGGGAGGTTCTGAGACGTTCCGAGTCTATTCGATGTTCTGCCGTGCGGTGACGTGGAGGTCGATTTCCGCTCGATTTTCGCCGTCCGTAAGTGGACAACAGTGGGTACAATTTGGACATAAGTGGGTCAAAATACAGACACAAGTGGGTACATGAAAAAAATTGTTGACGCCGGTGGGTATACCCACCGCGATGTCGGACATAAGTGGGCACTCTGGTGAGGCCTTGCGCGCGTCGGCTGTATTAGGGCCAAAGGTGTGCCTAAAAGTGGGAAAATATCGATGCCCGTGCTGTGTATGGTCCCTGGCTGTGTCGCCCAGGTGTCAGAATGGGGTTTTGGGTCGTTTGGGGGTCGCCTATGGAGTGCGCGCTGGATTTTCGAGTACCCACTTTTGTCCGAGAAAGGGGTGGGTATACCCACTTGTGTCTATTTCCCAAAATAAAATGCGTAAAAAGTAGCGCACATGATATCGGGGGCTGCCTAGGCACTCGAAATAGAAAGTCACGGGGCCCCCGTCCGAAAAAGGGGTTCTGTCGATTATACTTCGTCTACGTACAGCGAGAACCAACAAGCATGAGGCGTAATGCCATGTCTGAGAACCCAATCGCACGTGAGACATATAGTAGTCCCGGGGTCTACAATATGCCAACACTGCCCATTGTTTCGAAAACGCCTTCGCCCTCCTGGACCCTAACCCGCCCCCCCCCCAAAAAAAAGAACACCCCCCACCTTCATTTCTGGAACTCCCCCCCCGGAGGCGCATGGGCAGACGAAGTGGGTGATGGCGCACATGCCCAGCGTCAGCGAGAGCGACATCGCGCCGTAGATTGCCCACTCGAACTCGCTGTAGGTCGGCGGGTGGGTCAAGACAAGGCAGGGAGGGACGGGCGGAGGGAGGGGGGGGGGGTCCGTGTGTGTATTTATTTATGTGGCGTGAATGGGCCCGCGGCGGGGGGGTTGGTGGGTTGTCGTTGTGGTCGCTGTCTTCGCTAATGGTTTTTGTCGCTGTCTTCACTAATGGTTTTTGTCGCTGTCTTCACTAATGGTTTTTGTCGCTGTCTTCACTAATGGTTTTTGTCGCTGTCCGCATACCGGTCTCGGTCTCGACCCACAACAATACCACGAAAAAGACGCGTCATTCTGATTGAAAAGAAGCGTGAGGAAAAGTTACTTGCGCATGTTCGTGTGTGCGTGGGAGGGAGAGGCGCAAGGACAGGTGCACCGGCCCGTGTCACTTACCACCGCCCGTGTCTCAAGCAAACCATCCTTCGGTGAGGGCGGGTCCTCAACACATGCTCCCGGCGCGGTGGCGTGCGTCACCAGTCATGTTTATTTGACTTCCCTCAAAATGAGCCATATCCATATCCCGTGTTTGCATCGCACTCAATCATAGGAAAATGGTGCTCCATCCTTGGGGGGAGGGGGGGGGGTCAATGGTTTAACGGGTAAGGGAGGGAAAAACACAAGAGTACGCCCCCCCCCCCCCCCGCCCCCCCCGGTGTTTGCCATCGGAGTTGGGTTTTCGTCGCTTGGCAACGACGTTGTAAAACAAGCCGATCACTTCGTGCACTCGGCAACCAGGTTACCGTTTTTTTTACGCCTGTTTTTTTTTTGCGGTAACCATGAATGGTGGTCGAGTAGATCATGTTGTGCGGGGTCGAGGACCCTCACTCCGCGCAAGGGGGATGATCGCACCACGTTGTGTTAAATTGGTCAAGCTTCCTCGAGGCAGTTACACAGTTATAACTGTCTCTGGAAGTGATAGCACCAGAAAATAAATTAAGTCATACGCAGCTGTCATCCGTACGCAAGGAAGTAAGCACAAGATGCCGAACACCCTTAGCAGGATGCAGCTCACCCTTCATGCGACTCGCCAAATACCTCACGGCGCTTCGCCCTTGGTGATGTGAGAGCCTGGTCCGGGGAGAACCCGGCGTGTTCCGTCCCGGCTTTGTAGGGATGGGAGGTCAATGGTCTAAAGATTACGGCATGCAGGATTATGAGTACCCCCCCCCCCCCCCCAACAACAACGAGCCACCTTTGGAAGAGCAGGAAGGAACGACTGGCCATCGGTCCTGTGGGAACAATGTTCCGTCCTCTCGAGGGCGGAGCGTGGTCAATGGTCTACCAGCAAAGGCATGCAAAACACAAGAGTACGCCCCCGTCCCCCTTTCCGTTGTTCTCACAGGTGGCGATTTTCGACGGTCTTGGATATCCTCAACATTCTCGCCCACCCGGACAGAAGGGACACGAACATGCCCGCCAAGGCCGCCAGGATTCCCACCAGGATAATCAGCAGAGGAACCTTTTTTTGTTGTTGGCCGCCGCCGCCGCCGCGGCCGGAGGAGAGAGAGAGAGAGTGTGTGGCGTCGTGTGGAACAGCAAAAGGAATTTAAACGGGCATCCGGTCAGGGGACAATCAACAAAGAAGCCCAATCTGCTGTTGGCCGCCCGCGGCCGAGAGAGAGAATGGAACATCGTGTGGAACAGCACAGGGAATCAACACGAGGGGCATCCGGCCAGGGGACGATCAACAACGGGAACCTTTGTGCTGCCGCCGGAGACAGCGGGCCGCGTGGAACAGGCCAAGGAATCAAAAGCCAGGAATCGACGCAAAAAGTACCATCCGATGGGGGCATGGGTATGTACTTGGGGGGGGGGGGGGGGGATGGTCTGGTTGTGGATCGACAGGTAGAAGGTCATGTAGCCATTCCCCCA